CCTGCCTTAACCTCCCTAGATGCTAGGACTGCAGGTGCATGCCACCACACCTGGCTAATTTTTTTTTGTATTTGTAGTAGAGAGAGGATTTCCGCATGTCAGCCAGGCTGGTCTTGAATTCCTGACCTCAGGTGATCTGCCTGCTTCGGCCTCCCAAAGTGCTGGAATTACAGGCGTGAGCCACTGTGCCTGGCCAAAAACATTTTTTTGAAAGAAAAAAATATTTTCTTTGTTTTTTTGGAGATGGAGTTTCGCTCTTGTCGCCCAGGCTGGAGTGCAGTGGTATGATCTTGGCTTACTGCAACCTCTGCTCCTGGGTTCAAGTGATTCTCCTTCCTCAGCCTCCTGAGTAGCTGGGATTACATGCGCCTGCCACTATGCCTGGCTAATTTTTGTATTTTCAGTAGAGATGGGGTCTCACCATGTTGGCCAGGCTGGTCTCGAACTCCTAACCTCAGGTGATCTGCCTGCCTTGGCCTCCCAAGTGCTGGGATTACAGGCATGAGCCACCACACCCGGCCTAAAAGAAAAAGATATTTATTGTTCTCCAACTGACACTGAAGGGAGCAAGCAGAATAGAGGGTATCTAATTTCTGTATTTCCACAAAGCCACTGAAACAGTAATTTCATAAGGGTTCCTTCTGTCACCTATTTTCCATTTCTCTCCTTTGTCCCCAAACTTGCCCCTGTGCAGCAGCCAGCTCCTGTCACCATCTCTCTTTCAGAGGACTCCTGATGGATTTGACTCAGTGCCGCTGAAGACATCCTCAGGAGGCCCAGACATGGACCTGTGAGAGGCACTGCCTGCCTCACCTGCCTCCTCACCTTGCATAGCACCTTTGCAAGCCTGCGGCGATTTGGGTGCCAGCATCCTGCAACACCCGCTGCTGGAAATCTCTTCATTGTGGCCTTATCAGATGTTTGAATTTCAGATCTTTTTTTTTATAGAGTACCCAAACCCTCCTTTCTGCTTGCCTCAAACCTGCCAAATATACCCACACTTTGTTTGTAAATTATGCCCTTGCTTGTATCTTGTTTCCCAAAATGGCCCATCCGCCAGAGCCATAGCTTTGTCTGCTCATAATTCTTACAGCTCTGGAATGAAGATATTTCTCTCTTCTTAAGTATAGAAACTATTTCCTCTGTCCTCTAACTTAAGTGCAGAAACAGCTGGGAGCTTTCCTCGCATGCCCTCAGCTCATGATCTCTTTAGGAGAGAGGCTGGGTGAGGAGGGTGTCGGGGTTCCCTGGTGGACAATCTTCATAGCAGCCTGGATCCATTTCCCGTGGATAACCAGCTCAAAGGGAGTGAAATGGGTAGTCTGAGGGCAAGGTGAGTAAGGCCTGGGTAAGAAAAGGCTTGAAAAGCACAAAGAGAGGCAACAAGGAATGGTTTTGTTTTTGAGACAGGGTCTCGCTCTGTCACCTAGGCTGGAGTGCAGTGGCATAATCACTGTTCACTGCAGCTTCAATCTCTTGGGCTCAAGCTATCCTCCCACCACAACCCCCCAAGTAGCTAAGACTACAAGTGTGCACCACCAGGCTCACTAATTTTTGTATTTTTTTTGTAGAGACCGGGTTTCACCATGTTGCTCAGGCTGGTCTCCAACTCCTGGGCTCAAGTGATCTGTCCGCATCAGCCTCTCAAAGTGCTGGGATTACAGGCATAAGCCACTGCACTCAGCCTTTTATTTGTTTTTTAAACCGGGTAACTCATTCTTTTCTCTTAAGTAAATGATAGATATTCTCACTGAAGCCAAAGGAAAAAGTTCATGAAGAAAATGCCCA